CAACAATGGGCACAGCAGCAGCGGTGGTGACGGCGGTGTGGCGCCGGCGGTGGAGAGGGAGTGGGAAGAGGGGGAAGAAGGCAGCGGCGACACGGGCGCGGCACCTGTTGCTGATGCCGCGTTCACAGCCGGCCTGGATGCGCTGTGCGGCCACCTGCAGGAGCTGCAGGCCGCGGAGCTGGCGTGCACAGACGACGGCCCGCAGCCAAAGCGGCAGCCTGAGCGCAAGCGGGAGGAGCCAACCGATGTGTTTGCCGGTGATGAGGCGCTCGGCATAGACTTTGATTAAGCGATTAAGTGTTGGTAGTCGTCGCTGTTGTTGTTGTTGTTGTTGTTGTTCCTTTCGTTTTGTTTTCTTTGGCGGTGCTTCTGTGGTGTGTCCTTGCGCATGTGTTTGCGTGTGCCTCGCATACTCCTTTACTCACCCGCCTCTCCTCTCCTCTCCTCTCCTCTCAGTTTGCCTTGTCGCATAGGGTGCCCAATCGTTGGTCCGCTTGTTGTCGCACTCAGCGCGAGTAGTCCGTGGAGTTTTGAAGAAGGGGCTTCTCGCACTGCTGCACCGGTTGGGCACAGCAAAAGAAAAAAAAACAGGGGGGAGCAGAAGGGTCAATCACAACAAGCGTCAGTGTAGTCAAACAGGAAGAAGGGCAGGGAAATAAGGTCTTGAAGAGCGAAGGAAAGAAGAAGAAGAAGAAAAAGGAGAAAAAAACATACAAACAAACATATTGAGGCACCGGGACATATTTAGAAGGGAGTTGAGGAAGATACGTACGAGGATAAGTACGAAGGTAAGCTTCGTGCCTATTCCTGCTATATATTTACACCGGTGCGAGGTGTACTCTGCTCGCCGGGAGTGGAACAGCACTTAATCTGGGAGGCTGAGAGGAAGTCACGTGTGCCTATATTATATACAGAGAGACAGTACCTATATATATATATATATATAGGAGAGCAAAGAGAAGAAAACATGCGGTCATCACGTAGCCTGCACGCACTTCTCGTTGTGTTCGTGACTGCGCTGTCGATCGCGGCTCAGGGCACAGGGTCGTGGCCGCTGCTGCTCGACTGCGGTGGGGCAAAGTCACGCTGCACGCTCGGCCCACCAATTGCGTTCGCCACACTCACCGCAGCAACAGCAAGCAGCAGCGGCAGCAGCAGCAGTAGTAGTAGTAGCAGCAGCAGTGTTAGCACCAAGGACAGCAGCGATGACTTGTACGTCACATCTCAGCAGCAGCAGCAGCAAGAACAACATGATCATCATCATGGCGATACGCACTCCGTCATTCTGCGGTCGGGGCGGACAGTGAATGAATTCATGCACAAAACGAGCACCAAGAACAGCGTGGTTCCTGTCACGCTGACTGGGGACACAAGGTTTGTTGTGGAGTTCAACGGCGAGGCGAATCACATCATCAGTATCGTCGCGCAGCTGCTGGAGAACCGCTACGACAGCAGCATCCCAGTGGACAACTGCTACGGCCTCTACATCAACGTTGAGGTGCGCACCAAAGANGAGGCGTCGGGGGCGGGGGACGCGGACGGCGACAACAGCAGCAGCACGCTGCCGTACAGGCCGAGCAACAAGGAATCTCCAAGCGCGTGGTCGCTCTTCTGGAACGCCATTGCCACGATCCTCGACAGCAGTGCCTTCTGCAATCTCCTGCCGATGGTGATGCTTCGCGTCGCGCCGACGGCGGAGGAAAAGGCGTACTATTTCATCATTAATTCGCGTCGCGGGTATGCGATGAGTTCCGGCAACTCCACGTGTCAGATGCGCGTTTTCGTTCAGCAGAGCCCCGTTGAGACGGAGGTGTGGATGCAGAACGTCTTTGCTCTCGCCCTGCCGCTGGTGTTTCTGCTGCTGACGGCACCGTACACACTTTGGCGCATCGACTTGCTCCCCGCCTACCTTTCCGACATTGACGTGGTGGGCTGGCTGTGGTACCCACCGTACGCCCTGCGCAATGCCGTGATTGGCGTGGCGGTCAGCAGCTACATGTTCCTGCTGGGCCTCTACACTGAGCGGCGTGCNAGGCAGCACCAGAGCCGGCTGGAGGAGCAGCACCGCCGCCTCATGGAGGAGGCGCGTGCGCGGCAGAGGCAGGAATCCACATCGCCGACCATGCTGGAGCAAGAACCACAGCAACAACAGCAGGCAACTGTGCCTACAGACGTCCTCACTAGTGGTTACAGCGCCACTAGCCATCACGGCGAGAGTGAGCACCACACAACGACGGCAGTTCACATATCCCTGCCTCAACAAGGAGCGGCAGAAGCAGTAGGCGCCCCCTCCTCCTTGAAGAGGAAGAAGCACATGGTGGTGGGGGAAAAGCAGCAGCTCCTGAGAGCACCCACCGAGGATGAGGAAGAACCGCATACCAGCTTGGTGACGACGCCTAAGAGCAGTCGTCTAGCGGCATCGGTGTCGCAGTACCCACGCCACTCCGAACAGGAGCGGGGCGAATCTGCCGTTGCTCTTCCCAACCCGCGCGAAATGACCGAAATGGATCCGCCTTGCGTGGTGCAAATGCAGGCACCCGGCAACGCACAGGAGAAGAGGCAGCAGCAGCAAGACACCGCGGCGGAGGACGGCACCGACCAAAAAAAGACGGCAGCTGGCAGCCACACATTCTTGTACCAAGCCAGCGAGGAGGAAGAGGATGAGCGTATCTGCCGAATTTGCCGCGACGGTGAGGAAGACGAAAAGCTTGTATCGGCATGCGAGTGCACCGGCTCCGTCCGCTGGGTGCACCGCACGTGCCTCGACCACTGGCGCATGGAGAGTGCGAAGCGCAACGTGCGAAACGTGAACCGCTGCGAGATCTGCAAGAAGCCGTTCAGCATCTCCATCCGGCGCCGCACGCTGCTGTGGCAAAGCTCGCGCCACATCGTGCTCGGCATCGCCCTTGCGGTGTCGGTTGCGATTGTGTTCGCCGCCGCCACGATGTCGATACACGCCACACTGGGCGAGATGTCCTGCCGGACACCGTGGAGAACCGTGGCGTACCGCACGATGTTCAACCTGGACGGGATGATCCTCACAATGTTCGCGTACTTCATGCTCACGCTGCTTGCGGCCTTCGCCTTTGCGTTAGTGTACAGCCGGTGGCATGTGCGCGCTGAGACGGAGGCACATGTGCACGAGTTCCAGCTGCTGCCGGAGTTCTGGACGCGGCGCAACACCGCACACGTTGTGGCAGTGTACGTGACAGGCCTGTTGCAGGCCCTTGCGCTGGGCTACCTGGTGAAGCTGTTCATCTACCACACCAGCAGCGTCGTGTGGAACTGGGAGGCCTCCCCGTCCATCGGCGCGGTGATGTACATGACGTTTATCACTCTTGGTGTGAGTGCTGTGCGGCGAGGGCGCGAGTTTTTACAAAACCGTGCAGCCCCGAACACACAGGAAGTCGTGGTAGAGGACCAGCATCCACCAGTAGAAGGAGCAGAAGGAGAGGAGCAGCCGCAGGTAGTGGAATCTGCGGAGGCTGCAGTGGAAGCAACAACAGAAGGCGAGACAAACGCTGCTGGCCGGTCGCAGCAGCAAGAAGAGCCGCAGGTGGAGGCCGTGGCACAACAACTGCGGCCCATCCGTGCGGTGGAGTATTGTCCCCGCCGCCCCGTCAGTCGTCCAACGTGAGGGCAGCGAATACGTGATGCATAACTGCTCGCACACTTGGAACGCTCTGCAAGAATGACGATGTGTCACTCATTTCTTGTCTTCACTCCCCCCCCCCTGAAACTAATTGTCAAGGTTGTTTTGTTGTTCTATATTTGTGTGCTCGTATGTGTGAAACGTGGTGTGTGGGAGTGTGGCGGGGAGTGGGTGTACCCCGCAGCCGACCCCACAGCAGATGTGTGATTGTTTCTTTGTTTCTCGTCTTTCGTAGTGCTTCTGGCGCTGCTGCCGCAGTGGCTTCCCGCACGTGTACTTCACCATCGCCGCCGCCACCAAGAGCCGCCGTGCATGCCCATCCTCCTCTCCACTTCTTCTTCTTCCTCCAAACTCGTGCCCCTCCCCACTCACCCACACGCCACACGGAAAGGGGGAGTGGCACAGCATACACACTCACACAGCGCAGTAGAAAGTGCTGCACGAGCGGCGTGATGGGGCAGTGTTTCTGCTGCACCACTGTGGGCCAGTCTGAAGTGGCCGTGCTGGAGACGTGTGGCAGGTTCAACACGATCGCCGGCCCCGGCTGCCATTGCGTGCTGCCGTGGACGTACAAAGCGGGAACGTTGTCGATGCGGCTGCGTGAACACCACTTTATGATCAGGTCCAAGACAAAGGACAACGTGTTCGTGACGCTCAAGCTGACGATAAATGTGCAGGTGGTACCGGACCGTGTGGATGCTGCCTTCTACGGCTTGGAAGAGCCCCTAAGCATAATCCAGAGCTACGTGGAGAACTCTGTGGAGGCGAAGATCCCGCTGTACAACCTTGAGGCCCTCTTCATCGAGCGCGGCACCATCTCGCAGCAGCTCAAGAACGAGACGGACGCCATCATGGAGGTGTACGGCTGGGACATCGTGTCAGCGCTCATCACGGAGATCGACCCCGGGGATGAGATGACGGAGGCCATCAACAGCATTCAGAAGTACCAGCGTCTGCGTGTTGCTGCGGTAGACGAGGCGGAGACGAAGAAGATGCAACGCGTACGTGCCGCCGAGGCGCTGTGCGAGTCGCGGCGGCTGGCGGGGCAGGGGCTGGCGGAGCAGCGCAAGGCTATCGTGGCGGGCCTGCGGAAGTCCGTCGAGGTGATGCGGCACGATGCGAACGGGCTGAATAATGAGGACGTGCTGAACCTGCTGCTGATCAACCAGTACTACGACACCATGAAGAGCGTAGCGGAGAACAGCGGCGGCAGTCTTCTTATAATTGACGGAGCCGGCGGCCTGGACGCAATGGCGAAGGGATTACGAAAAGGGGCTTCTAACGCTATGCACTGAAGGAATCATGTGTTTCTGTAAGCGTTTATCGCGTATGCGCCATTTTCTGTCCATACCCCTAGCGTGGAACAGTGGGTGTTAAATAAGTTGCTGTGTGGTGTATCCACATTTTTTTTTCTCCTGTTGCTTTGGGTACAGCACGGCCTTGGGACGGTGTCGATTGGCGTGCACGAGTGTCTTGCTTTTTTGTCGGATGGTGACTTCTCCACGGCACAGCGGTGTGTGCTGGATATTTGCTGCACTGTCTTTAACGCTCCTACTGCTCGCTTCCTAATTATTTTCCCTCTGTGTCTCTCTGTCACACAGTGCGTCTCACCATCATTTGAGGCTGCGGGTTAACTTTTGCCCAAAGGGGAAAGGGAACTGG